AGAAAGATGCAAAGAGAGAAAAAGTGGATTTAACCCACTGAAAGAGAAAGAGAGGTCAGGATGATGGAATATTGGGAAGATAAAATAAAACAAAAGCTTTAATACTAATTTAAATTTCCAGCCATCCTCTATGCACTAAAATTATATGATTTAAAAAAAAAAATGTCTTTCCTGAGTTGTAGACATTTTACTAAGCTTGTATTTCCAGAACAAACTGTATATAAAATTTCTGCCATGCAATCAGAGTAAAGCCTATGAATTGTCTCTCATGTGCTTGAAATATTGATTGATCTATATCAGGCTTTTCAGGGTTATTTTTCTAATTTCTCCTTTTAATTTTTGTTTGTTTTTTTACTGTTTTTTTTTGTCTTTGAAATTGTCATCATTGTCATCATATACACTGAATACTACTTTTCAAATTATATTTTAATTAAAGTTGCTTGTATGTTTTGTCATCACCGTAACATAATGAACATGAAGGACAAAAAAATGAACTAAACAATCTTAAATTGAAATTTAGATAAAAATGAATATTTTTTTTAATTAGAGGCTCATTAAATTTAGGAAATTGAAAAAATGTATTATGTAAAATGGAATATGAAAATAGAAGAAAAAGATAATAACAGTGACAAAAATGGAAAACAAAAAAGAAAAAAAATCAATGAAAGACAGAGAGAAAGATACAAAGAGTAAGAAATAGCTATAAAGGCAAAAGACAAAGTTGAAAGAAAATTGAAACAATGATAATAGAAAAACTAATGAAGAGCTTGAAAAATTAAGATAAAAAAATGAATAAATAAGACAGAAGAAAAAAGGTAGAAAAGACAAGTAAATTGTCAGGACTTGAATAGAATGAGTGAAGAAAGAAAGAAGAAAAAAAAGAAGAAAAGAAAACAGCATTGTTGTAATGGAATGTCCCACACTCCCTATCACATATGCGGACTGACTATATTGGTAGATATATATAGTGAGCACAGGATATACCTTGCTTGATTTGGGAATTAGTTGGAGATTCATCTCCAGCTGTACTGGTCAAACTCTCTGTCTCCGGGCAGAGAGGATTCCCAGACAAGGCTATGTCAAAGTATCTCTTCTTGGGGAAATAGCTATCCAACCCTGTTTTATATGAGGAATTTTTGGTTGAGCCTATGGATTCTCTTTTACACACTCAAGTACCTCCTTTCTGTTTGTAACCTTCTTTAAGGATACAACAAGCATGAAAGAATAAGTGAGAAGGAGATAGAAATTAGGAAAGCAAAGAGAGAGAAAGAGAGAGAGAGGAATGAAAAAGAAACTCAAGAACTTTACATTCTTTTGATAAGTTGTACCAACACCAATGTTTTTTTTCCTTTTACCCAAATGTAACAATTACTTTGTAAAAGGTTCTGTTTTATTACAAATCACACAGAGATTTTAAAAACTTTAGAAAGCAATTTATTAATTTTTTTATATGAAAGTGATTTGGGATTAAATATTCTACAATTTCTCTCTCAATTACTGTGCTAAGTTTTTTTTGTTTTTTTTTAATCAGATTCTAATTGTTATTTTATCAAAAAGTACAAAAAACATTATTAGAAATAAAAAAAGTGTAGTGAACTATCATGTAATAAATGTCCCCTGTGCTGACAATCTCCTCACAGATGAAGAAGAGATTTGAAGTGACAGAAATGTTTCTACAGAAAGATACTGAGAATACTATAGACCAAACGTGAGCAATGACAAAGTTTTAGAGAAAATGGAAATAAAAAGAACACTTATACTTAACATCAGGAAGAGTGAGTTGAAATTTCTAGGGCACGAAATGAGAAAAGAAGGCTTGGAAAATTTGATATGCATGGGACTATTGAAGGCAAGAGGGACAACGGAAAACAATGCATAACCTACCTAGTAAGCTTGAGTAAATGGATAGTGGAACAAGATTTAGGGGAGATAACAAAAAGACAAAATTTATTAAGGACTACAAAGGACAGGAAATTGTGGAGAGCCATGATCACCTATGTTCTTAAGGGTCACAGCACATAGAAGAAGAAGACTGGCTAATGTACTTTCTGAATTAATGAACAGAAATACTCTCCAAACTTTTATTCATATTCATTTCATGTACATTTTTATTTAGAATTTGGACTTTTGTTGGAGTGGACTTTCTCAGCTCTTTATTTAAATAATGGATTAATTGATGTGTATTTATTGCCAGTGTAGTAAAAACAGAACCAGTGAATAAACTTATACCAAAGCTTTTATACCTCCTAAATCTTAAGAGGAGGTAACTGATGGTTTATCAGTACAGCCGGATGCTGTGATTGAACTTTTATTAGAGCTGCTTTACTCACCTCCTCAACAGATTGTTACTTAATAATGGATTAAGTGGTGTTGAGTTTTTATTACCAGGTGTTGCATTTTGTGCTTAGATAAATGTTAATTAGAACACTAAGGACTCCATGTTCAACAAAACTTTTTTCTCAGAACAATATGGCTGCTCCAGTATAAATGACTGCCTTTACTTTCTGTACTGAATTGAGATACATACCCTCAAGAATGAGGCCTTTAAGGCTAAAAATGCATTTATTATATATGCAATATTTGGTCTTTCTTCTCGAAGACTCTCTATTCAAGGTACAAGCTTTGCTGCCAATGTATTTGTATTATCCAATATTCTTTTAGATTTTAATAATCTCATTTGCTTTTATAAAAAATTTTCATTTTTATTTTATACAAGATAAAAGCTGTTGGTTTGAAAAATAAACTTCCATTGTGTTGGAACTTTTGTTAAAAGTGGTTTACTCAGATATTCAAGGAACTGCCAATTAATAAATTGACGTGCATCTATTGCCAGACATTGCCATTTAGAGTTTCGTTGTTGTTAGGGAGATGTTAAAGCTCTTTGTTCAACAAAACAATGTTATCTCTTGTAAGTTACAAAATGGCTGCTCACAAAGCAAGATAATGGCTGTACAAATACGGCTGCTGCTCTGTGTTTTTTCTTAAGTCTAAGACTCCATTGTTTTATACAGACTGTAAGTGACTTTTCTACAGGAAGAATGTTGAGGAAAAAAAATGCATGCTCTGCAGACTATATGTAAGTGCACAACCAGTTTCCCAGTATCTGATGATCAGGCAGTTTTTTTTTTAACCTGGATAAAATTATGATTGGACACTTGAATTTCACACAGTTTCTGCATTTATGTATTTAATTCATATTTAATATGAGCTTGATTTATATTTCTAAAAGTCCTAGTCAGTGAGGGAAATCAAGTGGTTGGTAAAGGTTCATATGAAACATTTAATAAAATAATACAAGTTTGCTGAACTAGTTTCTAAATTCTCTTGACCTTTATATCTACCAACAAAAAATTCAGAGATGTAAAAAAGAAGAGAAAACTGGTTCCTAATTGACAACAAATAGACAACAAATTTGGAATAGAAAAGAGAGAACTTATTCCTAAAATATCTGTATCCTACCACTGGTCCTAATGTCTTAAGATGTCAGATGGGCATAATCAGTTGTTCAGAAGTGTATTATTTAGTTATTATTGCACTTGCTTTATTAGTCACTAATTATTATTATGTGATTTCAGTTGGACTGATAAAGTTGATAAACCTGAATAAGTCTTAAACGGTGGGGGTAGAAAATTGGTGATCTTGTATTATATTGTCAAATACTGTCTGTCTGAACAATCCTGCTAAATTTATTTTTATTGCACAGCTTTCGAATTAAATTCTTTAACATATAGCAGAAATGGGCATCAATAGGATTTTGTAAATATTTATGTATACAGTAGAGTTGTGCAACGAATTTTATGGAGATTATTGATTTGCTTTTTATAGCATAATGGCATTAAATGTTGGACAACCTCCTCAAAGATGAAGAAGACACTTGAAGCAACAGAAATGTGGTTCTACAGAAGGATATTCATGATACCATGGACAAAATATGTAAGCAATGACAAAGTTTTAGAGAAAATGGAAACAAAAAGGAAACTTATACTTAACAACAGGAAGAGACAGTTGAAATTTCTAGGGCAATGAAGAAAGAAGGTTTGGTAAATCTGGTACCCACAGGACAGATTGAATGTAAGAGGGATAGAGGAAAACAATAAATAACATATTGAGTAAGCTTGAGTAAATGGATGCGGAACAGTGTTTATGACAAATAACAAAAAGACAAAATTTATTAAGAGCTACAAATGACAAGAATGTGTGGAGAGCCATGATTGCCTAAAGAAGTAGCTTTTGCAATTTATTTAAAGTCAGAAAATATTTTTAGATTGCAAGAATTTTTTGAGATAATAATGAGTTGTTGATACAAGTCCTACTAATTAACCCATAGATGGGGGGAGACGAGGTGGATTCATATATTTCCAAAAGGTACATAAGCGAATATAGTGAACCAGACTGGATTTGGAACTCAGCTCTTCTAATTCCAATTCGAAGCTGTTGTTCATTACAATAGCTAGATATCTAAACTTATAACACCTGTTATCTATCTAGGTACTGATTTGTTGCTTAACTTTTATGATTATATAAGAACCACTGTTTCAACATGATATTGTGTAAGCCTTTATGAAGATTATTACCGAGATGGAATGTGTGAGCAGCAAAAGAGGACTTGCATATTGTCTTATCTGAAAAAGGCATGAGTTCATTTTTTTCTCCTTCTAGCTATATGTTAATTAGCAGAATAGTTTGAGCTTGGATAGTCACCAATTTAGGAAAACAACTCTGAATAAAAGACTGTGGATAAAGTAGCAGAAAACCACTCCATTATTTTACTCAAGAAGTCATAGCAATCCACAGATAATAAAAAAAATGGTGAGCTATTTTGAAGGGATATAGTATTAAAAAAAAGGGTTGTTAAGAGAAAAGTTGATAGGAAAAAAGAAAGATCTATACATAAGAAAAAATTCTAACAAGGGAATTTTTTTAATAAATAAACAAGAATGTTAAAAAGCACATAAAAATGTCTACCTTCTCCACCTCAAAAAATATAAAGAGATACTTACGTTATCAGAGTAAACACTTTCTCGTGAAGATATGCCAATGACTGGAATATTATAGAAACCACAGGTGTATGATACAGATATAGGGGATTGTTCACTCTCAAAAGGGTGGCTGGCAACAACTACATAGACTCTATTGGGAATTAAGTCCTCACAAATAGACAGTGCCGACCGTATTGGGTTGGCATTCATGACAATGGAAGTGGAGTTGAAAGTGACTCCATGGATGGAAGACTTTTGGTTGATGTGTTCCACTGTCTCCTCAAAAATTTGCTGATATTCCCGTGAGCTAAGGACTCCTCCTATGGTGAACACTTCTGTGTTTGGTGTATAGTCTGAACTAGCCATAAGCTTTGTGAGGATGATATAAAGGAAAAATAAAGGGAAACCACTGTTGCTGCTGGTGGCGGCCATCTTGAATTATTGTTCTTCAGTTTCACTTAAAGGGCTTGTAGCTTTTTTTTCTGGCTCGGTTTCACTGTATTTATCTGAAATGAATAAAAAAGACAAATTAAAAAATTGGAGGGAGATGTTAAGGGATCAAAAGTTTATTTAAAAATTCTAATTGAAATAAATATATAAAAAACTATTTTCATGATTTTAACAAGTCATAATCTGAAAGTATCCTCCATTTTATATTTTAGTTTGTAAAGAAGTACCATATTTGCTGGCATATTGGACACACTCATGGGCACCTCGATGTGGTGTAATGGTTAGAAAGCTTGTCTTGCTAGATCAATTACGACTGAGTAGTGAGTTTGATTCTCACTGGGTGCCTCATACTTTCGGCCTTGTGCCACATCTAAGCTGGGCTTAGAAAATCACTACTGGACACACTCATGCATTGGATGCACCCAGATTTTGGCATGGAATATTTAAGAAAAAAATGCACATATGACAACCAAAAAATCAAAATTATAACCTTACCTTTATGTGACATTATCACTAAACATGAAGAAACACTTACAGTATTAGCACAAATTAGTATAATTTGTGCTAATACTGTAAGTGTTTCTTCATGGTTAGTGATAATGTCACATAAAGGTAAGGTTACAATACTGGTACTTTTTTTTAATAAAATTGAAGTATGGTTTAATTATCAGGACATTTTTTGGAAAAGAAGAATTTTAGTACATTTCATCATGCATTTATTGAAAATTGCTTATTTGTTTTTCAGGGAATAACATCAGCACAAACAGTAAATTCATAATAGCTACAAAGAAATCTAGTGTTATCAGTAAACACTGGTACATATGGTAATAGGCAAAAACCAGAAATATGGTATTTGTTGGTAAATGAAGTCCCATAGGATAGATGCAGAAAAACAAATTCCACTACCTGTATATTAACAAAACCACACACAAAGCAAGCAGCTGTAAAAATCTGTAAAATCCTACAAAACAAGCAGCAAAATACTGTGCAATTCTATAAATTTCTTAATTTATTTTTCCTGGGTGAATTTTTCAGAGATATTTTTATTGATATCATCATCATCATTGTTTCAAGCTAAGCTCTATATATGCACTGATTCTTAGTGAACCCCATTTTTTTTGCGGTCTTCATGTCACTTTCATACATGATACTGCTGTACTGGACGTAGGGATGTAGATTTTATAACTGATTTCACAAATGTTCAACATGTGCATGTCTTGTGTAACATTCTCCAGTGCCTCAGTGTCAATTTATCTCAGTGAGAATCTACCAGAAAGATGGATTGAGCATGCCAGTGATAATGACAATGTGCTGTTGATTGGTCACCACATTCAACTGACTTGACACCTTATGATTTTTTCTATAGGGCTATGAAAAAAAACATGTCTATATCCTTCTCTTCCTACAAGTCAAGAGGAACTTAAGCATAGAATCACTGAGGTTCTGGAGAATGCTATGCAAAATATGCTACAGTGTGTTTGGCAGGAGCTGCATGACTGACTTGACATGTATTGTGTCACATGTGGTGTGCATATTGAACATTTGAAATTGCTTATAAAATATAACACCACATGTGAATATCTTTTGATAAGTAAATCTTTTATTGTTCAACATGAAGCCTATTTAATTTTGTTTATCTGGGACATGTAGTTACTTAGATATTCACATTTTAAATTTGGGAGAGACAACATATATATATATATATATATATAGAGAGAGAGAGAGAGATAGATAGAGGGAGGAAAGGAGAGAGGGAGTAAGACAGATAGATGCACATTATGTCAAATTTAATCATGAAAATCATTATTTTCACAATAAATTAACCAACATTATGTATGGCACCAAACTCTTTCATAAATATCTAAAAAATCAGCTTTAACCTGTAGGTCTTAGTGAGGACCATCCTTCTTGAAACCCTGTGTATTGATGCTACATAATCATAAAGAACTGTACCAAATAGGAGAAACCACATCACTTGAAGATTGCCAACAGCAACAACAACTAAAATGGATTGCACATATAGCTCAAAGGGAAAATAATGACCTAATCACGATGTTCCACATGACTTCAAATAAAAGGTTAGGAAAGAAACCCCCATCAAAATTGGAAAGAACAATAACAGCTACTGGACTTGAGAAAAATTGTTTTAAGAGATAGATTTTATAAATTTCAACCAACAGTGGCACTGAATGCTGAAAATTTCCGTATAAGGGAACAGCTAATATTACCATTACCATTCAAGTCTATATTTCTGAGATGAGGCATTGTAATTATTTACATTATTCAGACTATTGTTATTTTGTCCACCATGGTAGATTGGATGATGGATAAAATATGGATTGGATGGGGGATAAAATATACAAAATAAAGTGTTCGGTTTAAAATTCCAATGTATATCACCGGAAGAAGGCCAGAGTGTATAATGGCTGAAACATCATGGATAAGACAATAAAGATGAGGACAATTGTCTGAATAATGTAAATAGTGTAAAACCTATATATTTACATGAGTAATACATCATATTAGATTTAGCTTATACTATCTAGCATTATTACAAATCCTGATAACAAGTTTTTTTTGGGTTGGTATCAGTTTTTTTTTAATGCAAACATGAATCATAAATCTTTATTTATGGATAATTCCACAAGATATATGCTGTAAGAATATATATTTAATTCACTCAATATCTTGTATGCTTGAATAAATTATTTTACATGTTACTCTGGGTTCCTTGACACTTTATCCATTGATTTTTTTAAATATACCATATATATCATGTGAGCATTGAAGACCTAATTTTGAAGATAATTTGACTACAGTAAATGGATATATAGTTTGGTCAATAGCATAGCCAGAGCCAGCAGTACATACATTAATTTTATATCTTGTGTATGATGCAAACCCCTTCAAAATTAGGTCTTGAAAAGCCACTTGATATACAGTAATTTCCAACAGTTTTTTTTATTGCTCACAGATACCTTGAATGTCACTTTTTATTCTCATATATATCTCTTTTAATAATGGTGTTCAAATCTTCCATTAGATTACTATCTAGAGATGCTGAGTGGCATCATCCCATTAATTTGGTGACTTATTTTTTTTCAGAATGTGAAGGAACATGGATATGCTCTTTAGGCTAAAGTTTCTTGGTTGTGATCTGGATGACTCAAAAAATTCCAGAAGTAAAAAATAATTTTCTTCATTTACCTTGATGCCATCATCAACACTTCATTACTGTCTTTTAAGTTGTTTCCATTGACTGAATCACTAGACATACTATCAGGTCTGTCTAATATAGCTCTACATTCATCACTAGAAATTACTACTGAGAAATCAGTTTTCATGTCCTTAATTTAAATTATGCTTTTCTCTTTATGATGTTTGTTTAAAGGTGGTAGTGTGATTGCTTTCATATTTCTAGCCAATATTCTTATTATTATGTATCTTTCTATTTACATCCATAACAACTTAGGGGCTTTGGTTGGCTTTTGAACTCTTAAAACTGTTTATTTTCCATTCAACAAAAATTGTAACTTTTTTAGGGATTTTATAACATGCATATGTTATAAATTTGAATAAATAAATAAATATATATAGTCACACTGAGGATCTGTGATAGAAAGCGAAACAGTACTGCTTATGAATGATATTATATATATATATATATATATATATATATATATATATATATATATATATATATATATATATATATATATCAAGTATATCATTGCTGTATATGGAATAAATTCAATAACCAACAATTACTATTCTTAAAAAGAGCGCTCAATACAGAGTAGAGCGAATATAATTATATATATATATATATATATATTTTTATATATATTTTATATATATACAGGTAAATAAAAAAAGAAAGAAAAGGTAAGATATATAATCCAGTGTTCTTATTGATATTTTTATTTTTACAAAATAGTGCTCAATGTAAATTTACAGAGCATTAATATTATAAATTAACTGAAACATAAAAGATTACTGTGTAAGCGAAAAAACATTTTAAATAAGTTAATTTATAACATATATATATATATATATATATATATATATATATATATATATATATATATATATATATATATATATTATAAATTAACTTATTTAAAATATGTTTTTTCGCTACATATATATATGTTTTTTTTCGCTACACACATATATATATATATATATATGTATGTATGTACACACACACACACACACACACACAAAGACTAATTTACCAATTCATGAAAAGAAAAGTGGTGGTCTGATCAATGTAGATGACAGTGTATAGAAAATTTTATGTTATATCTCAGTGTTAATAAAAAAAAATGAAAGAGAATTTTGGAACAAATAGAGTAAAACAAACACAGAATTCTCATACATACAAAAATAAAAATGTTGGAATGTAAATAAAACCAAACATAATTATTTAATATAAAAAAATACATGGAAGAAAGTTCGCATTAAAGATGAATTGAGATTTATATCATTTTGTATGGTACTATAGCTTCAATAAACTGTTAATGTATTTGGCAAATTAAAACAAAACTAAAATTAAGTCGAATAAAACAATAAATTGTCAGAGTTTCACATTTCCTGGTTGTGTTTTATAGAACAGGAAATAAGAAGATAGACAGAAAAACTTCAGAACATTTCAACCAATAAAATCTGTCAGAGAATATATCAGAGGAAACCAATGTTCATTTAGTCAGCAAATACTACATTATATTACAATTATTATTGATGGTGCTGAAGTTTAACCTTTAATAGGAGTATATTAAAACTATGTGTATAGTGTATGATTGGAAAGTAGTTTTTTATTTTTTTAAATCATTTTCACACCATGCAAGCCACCAATCTGCCATGTAGGGTTGTGTCTTTTGGTGCCAATCAATGAATATACATACTTGGATGCA